CCTAAGGTTTCGGTGAGTACTACGTTTTGGTGTTAGGTTCATCATAGGCACAGCGACGACCTGAATGGGATATAAAAAAAATCCCATAGTCAAGGCGAATGAATGACTTACAACACGCTCTTGACCCTGGGTTCCATAGGCACTCCGCCTTCGTTCATGTTGTTCTTTTTAAGCCAGGAGTCCACTACAACGTTTGAAGTCAGTGGTATTTATTCGAGCCCGATCTGTAAGAGCTTTGGACACATATTTGGATTCTAGGACATGATTCTAGTCCGGGAAGAAGTCTTTATGCCCCAGACGCCCAAATACAAGGAAATAACTCGAGAAGTGCTTTCGACCACGGATAATAGACTCGCCGTTGACAGCAAAGTTAGCCGGGTAGATGTTGATCTCCAGGCGCAAGGTTGGAGCGTGTGAATCGCTTCACAAGACTCTGATCCCAAGTGTCATTAAATCCGGGTATCCCCTAAGCAAATTCATCCACGATCTTCTAGATGTTGCCGATACTGAGAGGATAATTGTTGTCGATCTAACGGAGTTGGGTTGAGTCAACCACGAACCGGACAGACGGCGTACTTGATGAGCCTTTCAATTCGAAGCTGTATTAAGGACTGCCATTCCAGACCACTACGCGACTAGAGATCAGTAATTGCCGTCTGAGCACGCTCTGTAAGTCTTTCGCGACCGCGGGAAAACTCTAGGGCATAGTTTTAGCCCGAAGAGGGGCCTTTGTCCCTGAAGATCGCCAACGAGAGAAGAAAATGACTTCAAGGATTGCGTACTGCCGCTTCAACCCGACGCACTATCTGGACGGGACCCAAGCTGCGGGCTAATCGTATCACGAAAGAAGCCAAGCAATTGGCGTAGAGCTTCCTCGGAGTACTCTGCTACGGACATCATGCGCGGGAAGTCACGTCCGCTGGTCAATCACCAGCACTGAAAAGCTTCGGTTTTGTGGAGATTGTTATCCCTAGCTTCAGGGTCCAGGTGGCGGAATAATTGGAAATCAGTTTGAGTAAAACTGGATGGTAGTAGATGGTATCAGGTACTGTTGATGAATACTGCGCTTGATTGAGTTGGGCTGAGGAGTTGAAACACCTTATCTGCGATGTCTCAAAAACATAACAAAAGATCTATCGATTACGAAAAGTATATAGTACGGGCCTGAGCGGATCACATATGTACGAGAGAATATTCATGAGTTGTCGTAACACAACAGCCTGGTACCATCTTCGCGGCTGTTCAATTGATGGGCTTGACCCCCAAAATAACCCGAGTGCACATCGACTAAGCTGAGGCATGTGGTGCAAACTTGAGCGAGATGCATGATGCAGTTTCTAATGCGAGAAAAGGCCCAGAGCATGTTCCATTAAGCTCCCTGGGCAATTACTTTTCCATGAGGAAGAGGTTGGCCTCATTGCCGACGCCAAGTTAAATTGCACAGGGTTTGCACTCCTTGTCTCGACCTCTCTGGTTCCTCATAGGAATCTTTGGTCAGACGCTATTATATCGTGGGTGCCTAGGGAAAGCCAATGGCAAATATAATCGCTCAGCCTTTTCGCTTGTAGGGGTTACTGCTGGCGAGATAACGGCACATGAAGCTATCACATTTCTGCTCCACTCCTTCGCAGGTCCAGAAGTGCAATATGCCAGACTGAGAATAGCAAAAGTGAGGTAAAAAGAGATGTAAAGACCAGCAGCCCGTATAGCGTAAAAAGCGAACCGAAAGCAGAACGCTAAACATCCGGATTGAAAAAAAGGAGGGATGATTTTACAAGCGTATGACAAATAAGCCCAACCGATTAATTATGAACCAAACAAGAGGAGTGTCGACTGCCTGTTCGGATTCTAGGTATCACTGCTGTTGAAATAGCTGCCGTCTATGGCAATGAACCGCCTAGGGCAGAGTTCAGTTGCTTGAGTCTCGAAATAGAACAGAGGTTATGGTTCTGGTTTCTTTATTGTACTTTCGGCTTCCGGAAACCCCCTAGAAATATGACACAAATTTAAACTGGCGGACGAAAGCCTCACCAGTAAGTAGGCAAAGAGAGATCTTGGCCATGTGTATAACTCAACTAATCACTACAACTAATGACCCACGATGTAAATCACGGCCGATCTGATACCTGGGCCAGGAGGGAATGGCCAAACTTCAATTGCCCAAAAAATCCTCGCGATTTCATCACTCATTAGGTTCGTTGAAACTGCCCATTGCCCAACTGTTTGGCGGCAATGGTGGCAAATGAAGCGGTCTTACAATTCCACGGCATGTCGTGAGTCACTACCAACCAAGCAGAGCACAAGGCCCGCGCCGATTACTAAATCTGCGAGTGACGCCGTACACTAACACTTCTATTCCGCAACACCAACACCATTGGTGACTTCACCGAAGACATCCTTGGCGTGAGCGAGCTGATCCTGTACCAGCGTCATACGGGCCATCATCTCGCTCCCGAGAGGCAAGAACCTCTCATTCTCCTTCCCGGCGCCGAATCCTTCCCCCACGATGAGCTGGTACACGGCTTTCATAGCCTTGTCCTTATTTCCCTTAGGGACGATCGTTCCCGACTCGAGATAATCGATAAACAGGCCCGATACCGTATCCTTATATTCCTCAGGAAAAGGGGTCTTGCCAAGGATATAGGCGTTGGGCATGTTGGTATCGAACGACCCCAACAGAACCGTGAGGACGCGGATGTTGAAGGGCGCGACCTCCTTTGCGAGGACCTTAGTCACGGCTTCCGGGCAATGATAAACTCGAATCAGCACGGGGGCCCTCGAGGAAAAATAAAATCAGGGAAGGAAGGATTTGTCAACCGCACGGCGGAATGCAGCCAGCTATTAACAGAGTCTACGCAACACACACAAGAAAGAAAGAAAGAAAAGTCGAAAAAAAAACCTCGCTCACCGTCAAGACCCGCTTTGGCACCTGCGTAGCCACCCATGCTACCCTGGCCCTCCAGGGCGGCGCCGCTGCTGAAGTTGGCGACGACGCCGAACCCGCGCCTGCGCTGGTGGGGGAGGACGGCGCGGATGAGGCGCAGGGGGCCGAAGTACATGGTCTCCATCTGGGCGCGGAGCTCGTCCTCGGTCATGGTCTCGATCGGGGCGTGGATGGAGTAGCCGGCGTTGTTCACGAGCACGTCGATGCGCTCGCCCGCCTTCTCGAGCGCCTCGACGATCGCCCCGCTGCCGGCGTCGTCGACGTCGAGCCGCACCCATTTGCCGCCCTTGGCCTCGACCTCGCGCACGAGATCCGGCGTTCGCGACGGGTCGCGCGACGTCGCGATCACCTTGTGGCCGCCGGCTTGCACGATGCGCACCAGCGATAAACCTAGCCCGGACGAGCACCCGGTTATCAACCAGGTCAGCTTATCGGGGACTGCGGCCATCGTCTATTACCTCTGTCTTCGAGTTTTTGTCTGTGGCGTGGCTTGGCGAGGCGGACTATTCTATCCGTGGCAAGACGAAGAGACACATAGGCAGTCATGGGGGTTTCTTGTCTGAGTGAAGGCAGCTGGCCATGTGGTTTTTATAACAATCCGGCCGCCGTCGTTGTTTACTAGATACTGAACGGCGACAAGGCCATCATGCAGGATAGCGGCCTTCACCCGGTGATTACGGGGTTAGGCCAGATAATTACTCCGTGTCATGTGACTGGGGGAATAAGGATTATATGTTGTCTGCGGTAGAGATCACCAGGGTGTAGTTCGATCCAGGCTCTTCGCGCTACAAGGTATGCTCACGATATTACACCCATCCCGGCACTCTGGTGGACCGGAATCTTATCTTCGGTTTTAGGAGGTTGTAACCACCTGAGCAGCGAGATACGCCAAGCTTTGGCTCGGTATCCAGAAAGAGGCATGTTAAGTGGTAGTAATGATGTCAACTGCCCATCACTGTCGGGCTTCGAGCGTAGAATCGGCCGTACAATATATTAATCAGGCTCATCTATGTATCACACCAGGTTCGTGCCGTCTCCAAGCTTTAGTCTGATACTTATATAATGTCTATCATCAAGACGATAATTCTGCAACCGACCTTTAACACTTTCTATCTCGTGAGACTGGCTCACCTAAAATAAGCTTTGTTCCGTCAGATGAAGTCGCTTACCCCCGCCACTAAATTGTCCTTTGAACTAGTTGCCAGGGCAGGGCTAGTTAGTTGATACACTGTCACCACGTTTGTTGAAACATGTCTCTAACGTCTAACTAGAAGGCTAGTGATATTCTGCCGTGAAGCACGAGCAATATGTTTCCCTCTTCGCACACTAATACACCGATCCAGCGCTTAACGTAAGCAGCCAAGGACTCCACGTCACGGTATCGTGACAGTAGATGGAGCAAACGGACACATTAGTTGTTGCTGGAAGGTAGTAATCATTTCTATTTGTACCTCGCTCAAATTATTTTCTCCCCTCCGTTTATTTTACGGCGCCGAGAAGGCAGACATGGGAGAAATTCAAGCACTTTCAAGTTTTCTTATACGTTGTGTGTATTCTCTTGGTAGCGGGTTCCACAAATGTACTTAAGATAGATCCGAGTGTAGGTCTGTCTAGGTCTGATTTACAAGGAAGTCCCTTAACACGACGAGAAGCGAGCGCAATTCCGTCATCTTTTGGCACTATTTGCACAACATCCTGCCATGTTTTCTTCCCTCCAGTAAAAGAGGAGGCTTTAGTTCCATATAACGAAGCGACTTTCTCTCTTTCTTTTTTTTTTTTTTTTTTTTCCCCAGACATGTCCTCGCCTCCTTTCTCCCACGCCTGCCGCCGTTCACTCGTGTTCTGGTTTCCCGATCGGTTGCTGCAGAATCATGTCTGTCTGGCTTGTCTAACCGATGTGGACACTAACCGTGACACTTGCTCGCACCTCGATTGGTCCGATGGCCTTTCCCAACCCACACCTGCACGCCATACGTAGGAGTGATAATCGCAATTAGCGACCCAATGAGCAACAATCACGGATACCGAGCGTGACATCTGCTTGCGTCTCGATTGGTCTCGATTGGTCTAGTGGTGAGGATACCTGCTTGTCATTGGAGTGTCTCCCTAGCGCACACCAAAAGTGGATCCTAGATATACGAGATACCAAGTAACAGGCCGCAGGTGGCCGGGGTTCGATTCCCCGATCGAGAGTCGTGTAGTTTTTTTGGTGTCACTTTTGTTGCCGGGTTCATAACCATGGCGTTGTCAGGTTGAGGGTTCATTCATCTCTTTTTTTTATTGCGGGCAGTTCCCGACCTATTACTACCATATCTATATATATATATATATAGTATTGACCACAATACCCTCTCCCCAGGACATTAACTTGGCTGACGTTATGTGCCCGGGCGGTTCTTAAATAGATTAAGTTGGGCTTGCAGCGTCCGTGTCGCTAGCCGTGTATTGCCTAAGGTGAACACCGCATTCTCGTTGTAACGAGATCCGAGTGCGTTCAGAATTCCTAAGTGATCCTCTGCGCAGTTGATGATCCCTTGTGGCTCGGATGATTCAGATCCTGCTGTCTTTAAGCAAGTCGCCGCAGATTTCTTGATGGCCTTAAGCTTAGTTCGAGCTTGTGCAACCCGTCTGGAGAAATCTTGTTGGGCGGTTTGGGAGGGTGGATCGGGCATTGTTGCTCGGTAGATCGATAAGCAGGTCAACGTTGACGGGTTATGTCGTATTGGACGAGAGCTGAATAGGGATGTGAGAAGAGTGAGAATTTCAGGATCTTAGAAGCTGAGGTGCGTGTATGTCATAAATGCTCGTTGTTGAGAGAATCGCCGGCTTCTCTGCTGGGTAAGTAATATCTGAATCCCAAAATCGTGCCTTTGTTGGAGAGAACCCAGAATGCGTGGCAGAGTAGAAGGGACCAAGTAGGCCTATTTATTCTAGAGCCATGAGTGTGTTGAACACTTGGTGTTTTCTAGCCTAGATGTTCAGAAAGGCGGCGTGCTAGGTTTGAAGCAAACAGCCCAACCTTGCTTTCGAGGGCAAACCCAGTTGCCCATTCCCCGTAGCTGAAATGTAAGGGAACCTATTAATCAAACAAATGACGAGAAATCCCTCGTAGTCCAACAACTTGATATCTATCCGTAGACGTGTTTGTGGGTGTGTCTGTGTCTGTGTCGAAAGGTGAGTGATAGGTTGATAAGTCCAAAAGCCTTGGTGATATCGGGTATGAATATACAGTCCAATCCCTTACCCCCATTCCTTACGATATCCTCTAAAACACGCATCACTTCAATATTCTCTACTTATAGCCCAGTAATATCTCACGAACTTTCCATCATCCTTAGATCCCATAGGCGCCTGACCCTACCACTGTTTTCGTTAGCTCTCATCAAATCTGTCCATAAGGATCCGACTGCCATCCCTGAGACATTGTGATTGCCACGTACCAATTCAGTTGATGTTGATTTTAGGAGCTATTGCCCTATCGTCTCACGTTCTATCGTTTGATGCTTTCGCGAAGACGCACCCAATCCCCCCGGTTTTGCGCAATTTGGCCGTTCAGCTCCTGTATTGCCCACTCAATATCAGCGATCCTACGCACGCTGCGGCTAGATTCGATCCAATCTAGAAGTCCCAGGTGAACTTGCGCGGTGTCACCGATCTGGTTTGGTTTGGGCGTGGCATCTCCTAGGTCCTGGATGAAAGCCTGCATTTCGATCCGGATAGACATCAACGCCTGTCTAGCTGCCGTAACTCGCTGCGCAAAATCTCGCTGGACGTGACTAGACATCGTTGTTTTTTAGTGGCTTGATAAGTAAACTGTTGTTATTGACCAGGTAGGCGAGGGGGATTTGGGGGGGTTGGTCGAACTGTATGATAACTGAATAGAGATGCGGGAAGAGGGAGAAAAAAGGGCCCGGCCCGTGAGCGTGTGAAACATAACAAGTTGGCCAGTCTAGGTATCCCTGAAATTAGAAATAACAAGGGACAGGCATGTTGTATAGTCATAGCGTATGATAGAGCTAGAAAAAAACGTAAGAATGGGATGCAAGGGATATATTAATTGCTTAGAAATGTTGGTTTGAATGGCCATATATGGCAAATAAGAATATATTGAGAGGACAGCGGCTCACTACATATTGATAAACTCAGGCGCCGCCACAACGATATGAGATTGATAAGAGTCTCTCCTTTTAGGTCGGAGCAATGCGCTTCGACTTTTCCAGATGGCCAACGTATATCCATTTGATATACAACCCACTTGTGTGGTGTTCGTGACGAGATATTAGCTGGTGTTTGTCCTATGTTTGTCCCAGACGCAAGGCACTCACAACGATTGGTTAAGCTGTCCCTGCTGACTTGAAAAAGTTGAGGCGATGATTGGCCTCTAGGTTTATTTCTTTACTTAGAGCGGTCAGGCGGGACAGTTACACGCGGATTATTAGCACAGCCTTACCGCGGGCCCCGAGGCGCCTCAGATAATATATTTTGGTATGAAAGGCTACAATGCCGAGAGACTGAGAGACTGAGACATTGTGACCGTGTGATATATTGATGCTACCACCATCATATCGTTCGGTCATGAGACACTTTGAACAAGTCCTTGATATAAGCGGTGATATTATCCGTAGTACCAGGGAAACTATAATACTTGCACAATGTGACGAACGCAGCTTGGACTCGGATACCATTCTTCTCTTGACCGGTCAGCTTGCTTTTTGAGAAGCATCCACGGGCTGCGCAGCCGAAGCTACCTTGATCGTATGTTATATTCGCTGCCAAGTTTAGATCGCTCTCGTCTTTTTTTTTTTTTGTAGCAAGTTGCAAGCCTAGAAAGGAATGCCTATATGGGCGGAAGCCGAACGCTGAGACTCGAGGCCAGTTGAGAGTTTTCATGAAAGTGGAATGTGAATTCACTGCAGCGGGCTATTCAACAGATATTATAAAACAAAAGCACAATCCATCATGCGTATTACAGCATGAAGTCATAAGAGCCCGACTGGTGGTGCCCCAACGACACATCAAGAGAGCGATACCGTGATGAGTCAGCACCCTCCATACCTGGCCTCTGTACCCAGGTATAGTCGATAATTGTATGGCATCTCTGCGGTACAGCAATATCTTCTCAAAAATGCCCTTTAGGTACCTGCATGCATAGGCCGTGGGTGACATCACTACGACGTAGGTAGGTTGTCGACAAATACCAGCTTGTCTGGATTTAATAAATTCGCTACTGAAATCACATCTTTGTAAGCAGCTCTCCAACCTAACCCCCTGTCATCTGGCCATTAATACCGGATTATCTGTATAATGCCATAAATGTCGAGCCACTAACGGACTTGGCTGCTGGACTCAGTGTAGACGGGCGGAATCAACACGGGTGTGGAAGGAGGATTATAAATGGCTTGCGATTCCTCAAACTCATTCCTCGTCAAGTAGATAGCGACCCCAGCAACGCCGCGTCATCCGATATTCGAAAGCATCGGCAAGACGCGATGCACCGCCGACGGGAGCGGCTTCAAATGTGAAAGCGAATATTGTTACGCCCTAAGAGTTGCGCCGAGACACGAGAAGCAAACACACATGCGCGTGTTTAGTTACGCAAGGGGTGTTGGAAGAGAAAGTTGATATGAATGGCCGGTGAAACAAAAAATGTTCGGGTGCTCTGAGCGACGTGTCAAGGGCTCTTGAAGGTGATTGCCATGCTTGGGCTGAAGAGACTACTGACAGCTAAGCACGGGCTACGAGTGATTCTGGCAGCAGGTGTTTATCAGATGCAATAGTATCCTTGGAGGTCCAATTAATTGCGCTTTTCCTGTCAGCTTTTCGCCTCTAAGCGAGTCTAGGGGTATCATAATCCATGTTTCCCATACCATACGCCAAGTCATTCGCTAACCAGCCATAATAAATACCGCCACGGCCTTGAAATATGTCGCCAAATTGCCGTGTCTGTTGTTGGACCGACAAGGCTCATCCCTCCTCGTCCCTCCATTTGCTAATCTAGTAATATAGCCCAAGCCTCGGCGTCAGGGCCATATGGGCCTGCCTGCTCGAGTGTTGTGCCGTTCACCTGGTCCCCGATGGTCAAGCTACTGAGTCCTTCGAGGACGCGTTCGGCCTTGTCCTTGGCGTCGCGAATGGCATTCGTCTCGGCTCGCGTCCGGTCCAGCTGCGACTGCATCATCGAGATGAGGGATTCGCGGGCTTGGTGTGGCCGATACTCGTTGATGAGGTGGTGGAAATTGATGAATAGATCTCGGAGATCTGTGATCTTCTCCTCGGCCTATTGGCCCGTGTCAGAGGGGGATACGACACTACGGCAGAGGTGTTTGTGACGTACCGATTCAGGGCTCGTGGCCAGCAACCCTGTGAGCTCGAGAAAATTCAGCAGCAGCGACTTGGCCAATCGCTTAAGGATGGTGGCGCGGTCGAAATGCTTGCCATCCTGGTCTCTCTCGTCGGGATTCGGGAACAGCCGGCGAATCTCTCCATCCTCGAGATGCGGGAGTTCGTCTTTCAACCGGTATCTGTCGCCAAAAACCCGCCACTCGCCGTCTTCGGGTTCGGGTGGCGGCTGCAAATTGCGCAGCGCACGGGGCAGGCCATGGAGGCGGACATTCGAGGTGTCTTGTAGGCCCGAGCGCTCGGCTGCTTCTTTCCGCAGCTCTTCGGCACGGATGACGTTCTCTGGCGTGAAGTCTTTCCAGAAAGGAGGCGGCGGCGGCCAGGTAGAGGCTACCTGCGGTTCCTCGTCCATGGCGATGTCATAAACCCTGTCTCGGTCGATATGACTGTTGCACCGAGTATTAGCTGTCGGAGATGAATTGATTTGTCGTGGGAAATGGAAAATGCGGGATCACCCGTCTGTTGCCATGCTTGAGTCCATGTATGGAGATCGGGAAGGTTAAATGGAGAGCGATGGCCGGATAATGGTGTCGCGGGAGGTGTTGCGGGAGGTGTGGAGGTGGGGACATGAGGAAGGATCCGACAGAGCTACCTAGTCTAGTGTAGGTACCTCGATGTAGCCAACCAACCCAGGTAACTGCTGTGTACCTAAGCTAGAACATACTGCGTATAGGTACCTACAGCCAATCTACACCGGGTACATGTGGGTCTATCTTAATTACCTATTAAGACTTAGCGCGGGGCATTTCTCCAAATCCTAAATTCACAGGTCGACCCATTTGTGGCTGACGGGC